TATTTGATATGACCCAAGTCATTTGCTATTTTTTACCTTATGATACATGTAATTACCTAACTTGACCTCAGTTATATTTCCCCTATTGCAAATACTTATTCTGAAAGTAATATTATTGGCATTCAGACCCAAAGCTAAGCACATTTCATTTACTGTTAGCTGTCCCTCTACTTGCAACAGTCTCAGCATTTTAACCTCTATTCTTTCAACTGTTTAATAACTTTAGATACATAATTTACAATATCTAACAATGATATCGATTACGTATCTACTACATCTTTTTCTGTGCATTCCTACTTGTTTTAATCCTGAATCTTTCAGCACTTTCTTACTTATTTAACAACCTAATAAATAACATTATCCAGCCTAATGTGTCAGGGAAAGATGCTGCCAAAAGTATCTTTACCCAGCCTATTGTATCGGGAAAAGATGCTACCAAAAGCGAAATACTGCCATCATAAGATGATTAGACACGCTAGACTTTTAACATCTTGGTACATTAGGGAAAGGCAACACATAGGCAATTACTGTATGGAAACTATTTTTCATATTTCAACCATGCAATACTTTTTATCAAATAAAAAAATAGGAAAACATAGTAAGAAAAGGCAAATAAATGACTAGTAGTGAGTGGAATGAGGTGAAGAACAAACAGGGTGTGAATTAGGCTATTATGCTGTCAAATGTCTCCTAAGTTTTCTGGGAAGAAGTTTACCTAATTTGTAGAAACTGGTGTTCTGACTGAAGTTGTCACAGATACTGAGGCATGCAGAATCAGGGATCCTGCTTCTCTGGATCTCGTCCTTCTCAGCAAAAGGAGTAATCTGTCATTTCAATTCTTTAAATGTTTATGGAAATTATGATGTATTATGTAAGGACTGTTATTAGTGTTCTGAATTCATCCATGGAGATCTTTGGATGTTTCACCTATGTAGAGTGCATCACATTTGTTACAGGTGATAGTGTATGCACCTGTAGTAATTGAGTTATGTTGATGTTTCTGTCCTCCCAAAACTTTATTTCCGAAGATATCTCCAACATCCTCTCCAACAGTGAAGTCAACATAGCTACCAATGCCTCTACCATCATCAAGGACTTTACTAGACACAAACACCACCAACACAACAGTAAGTACTACAGGGTAATAAACCTTCATGTGTAACAACTGTTACTAAATCTTTTTAAGTGAAACATCCAGAGAGCTACAGAGATCTTCAGTAAGCTAATACGTACAGTGGACCCCCGACCAACGAAGGCATCGTCTAATGAAAAAATCGCCTAACGAAGCATTTTAGCTTAAAATTTTTGGCCCGACCAACGATGAAAAACTCGACAAACAACATTCGTCCTGAACGTGTCCGCCTGTCTGTCCAGGCTGAGCACGCCTCAGCTGCCCTACCTTTAGCTAGTGTGCCACTGTTTACAAGCCAGGGCTGATGGTTTCACAGATACATGTGATATATTTTGTATTATTCCATTGTTTTTAGTGCTTGTAACTGCTAAATAAGAAAGCTTCTAGTACCAACCCTGTGGTAAAAAGGGTGAGAAATACTATCGAAATACTATCATACCATGGTCAGTTGTTGCTGCACCACTGTCAGCTGCTGCTGTACCACCGTCAGATGCTGCTGTACCATCGTCAGCTGCTGCTGTACCACGGTCAGCTGCTGCTGTACCACGGTCAGCTGCTGCTGTACCATGGTCAGCTGCTGCTGTACCATGGTCAGCTGCTGCTGTACCATGGTCAGCTGCTGCTGTACCATGGTCAGCTGCTGCTGTACCATGGTCAGCTGCTGCTGTACCATGGTCAGCTGCTGCTGTACCATGGTCAGCTACTGCTGCTGCACCACCGTCAGTTGTACTACTTGAAGATGTGGAGAGTGTTGTTGGTGTGGCTTAACGAGAAACAATTACGGAGAAACAATTAATCCCAGAGGGTTAGCAACCCAGGATAACTCAAGAAAGTCAGTGGGGATTGCAAAGTGAAGCCTTTACTCATGTATCACTATGAAAATCCCAGAGTGTTCAAGAAAAACAGTGTCTCATCACTCATCAATACTCCTCAATAAAGGTAAGTGTCCTTTTAGCATTTATTTATTTATTTATGGGTTGGTGGCCCGGTGGCCTGGTGGCTAAAGCTCCCGCTTCACACATGGAGAGCCTGGGTTTGATTCCCGGCGGGTGGAAACATTTCGACACGTTTCCTTACACCTGTTGTCCTGTTCACCTAGCAGCAAATAGGTACCTGGGTGTTAGTCGACTGGTGTGGGTCACATCCTGGGGGACAAGTTTGAGGACCCCAATGGAAATAAGTTAGACAGTCCTCGATGACGCACTGACTTCTTGGGTTATCCTGGGTGGCTAACCCTCCGGGGTTAAAAATCCGAACGAAATCTTATCTTATGAAGTTATTGTGCATGTCTCATTGTTTTCTTTGTAGGGAAATGTATATTTCATGAAAAAAAATAATTTTTTTTTTAATACTTTTGGCTGTCTGGAACGGATTACGTAATTGAATTTCCATTATTTCTTATGGGGAAAATTAATTCAACTAACGATAAATTCGCCTGAAGATAAGCTCTCAGGAACGGATTAATATCATTGGTCGAGGGTCCACTGTATGTCAGCAAAACAGACAATGTTAACAATTGCATCATATATCATAATTATCACAGATATTTAATAAACTTTCCATGGGGAAGTGGAACAGAATTCTTCCTCTGTAAGCCATGCGTGTTGTAATTAGCGACTAAAATGCTGGGAGCAAGAGGCTAGTAACCCGTTCTCCTGTATGTATTACTAAAGTTAAAAAGAGAAACTTTCATTTTTTGGGAGGGGCTGCCCTGCTTAGGTGGGATATGGCCGGTTTGTTGAAAGAAGATTTAATAAACTGGAATGGCACACATCTAATTGCCACTCATTGAAGATGACATCCAAAGAAGATAAATCCTTGAATCTGTGCTCATTGCAACTTGCAACATCTTCAACCAGACTTTCTACCATTTAGCTGAAACTTTCAGAAAGCTTCAGAGACATTTGGCAATCAGTGTTATTTGACTCACACCCCACATACTCTTTATCTCACTGTTACTCACTGATATCTGTATACTTACCCTTTGTTACAAGGTTTATTGGTTTGTAACTGATAAAAACTACTGCTTATTTAAATAATATGTAAATGTTTTGTAATTGATACCTTTTTATTAGCTACCTTTCTCATTGAATGTATGATCATATTTAACTACACAGGAAGTCTCACATAATGCTGTGTCTAGTTCTTAAGTAGTCTGTAAGCCTTATGATTAGTTGCCCAAAATGAACTGCAGGATTAGTGGCTTTCTTTTGTGCTTACTATGTTACTTTTGTATTTACATTATCTATATGCTCAAAGAAATAAAGCATTATCATTATCATATGGAAACATTATCAAGGAAGATTCCACATAAATGTATATGTCTCTCCTCTCCATTGTGTTCATATCTTCTACCGTAAGGTACCCACCTAGGAGAACATAGAATTAAATAGTTAGTAACCATCATTTACATAAATAAAGCTCTTACACTGTTAATATCATTCTTTATAATTACTATAACAGTTGTTTTTGTTACTGCATGTAAAGATGTCCACTAATTGAACCTAGCCTCAGTTATTTTTGTTACTGCATGTAAAGGTATCAAATAACTAAAGTTAGCCACAATTATTTTGCTGATGTATATAAATATATCCAGTAATAGGACCTAGATACAATAGTTTCTTTTACATAAACTTCATTATCTATTACAGCTACTTATCTGTAAATAGCAATCTGACATTTTTCTAACATTTTTTTTTTTTTTTATTATTATCACACTGGCCGATTCCCACCAAGGCAGGGTGGCCCGAAAAAGAAAAACTTTCACCATCATTCACTCCATCACTGTCTTGCCAGAAGGGTGCTTTACACTACAGTTTTTAAACTGCAACATTAACACCCCTCCTTCAGAGTGCAGGCACTGTACTTCCCATCTCCAGGACTCAAGTCCGGCCTGCCGGTTTCCCTGAACCCTTCATAAATGTTACTTTGCTCACACTCCAACAGCACGTCAAGTATTAAAAACCATTTGTCTCTTTTTTTTTCTAACATTCAACAAGATATAAAATTAACGAGTTTAGTACAGCCTCTGCATGCATTTGTGAAAATCATCTCAAATCACCATTGTTCCTTTCCTTTAAATTTTCCGTCTCACAATTCTACAAAACTATAATACTAGTCTAGTGATTTACAATAAAATTTTATACCACTGAGACATGTTTTATAAAAAAGAATGTAAGTCCTAATATTATCACAGTAATTTATCTAGTGTATAAAATGCAGTGTGTATAACATGCACAGAAAGTTGGAAACTGGAGGTGTGCAGATATATGAACTTATTTTGCTCACTGTATGAAGAATAAAATGGATCTAATATGATGTATTTCATAAACATATTACAACATAAGGAAAAATAATTTGGAATAGTATTTTTATTTCGAACCAAAGAAATATATTATTATATTGTGCCAAGTTTTCTGGAAAACTCTTCATTTATCACAGGTATTAAAACTTTTTAATAAATTTAAATTAGGGATCAGTTGTCCTTTAAAACTATTTAAATTTGCTAAAAAATAGTGAAAATACATATTTGTGATTAAATTACTTTTCAAAATTGTATAATACTGCAATAAATCTTTAATGCTAAAGTAAGTTTAAACAAAGCAGAATACAGTGGAACTCCGGTTTTTGTCCAGTCCAGTTAAGATAAGATAAGAGATAAGATTTCGTTCGGATTTTTAACCCCGGCGGGCTAGCCACCCAGGATAACCCAAGAAAGTCAGTGCGTCATCGAGGACTGTCTAACTTATTTCCATTGGGGTCCTCAATCTTGTCCCCCAGGATGCAACCCACACCAGTCAACTAACACCCAGGTACCTATTTGCTGCTAGGTGAACAGTTCAGTTTTCGACCATTTTTTTCAGCGAAATTTTCCCTGTTTTCATACATCTGCTCAGAAATCATCCATATCAGATGCGTCCCCCTGCCCACGGGACGCGGCCACTCATACGTTCATGACTCAGCCTGCCTTTGTTACTCATAGAGGGTGGTAGTGATGGTAGTAGAGGGTGGTAGTGGTGATGGTAGAGGGTGGTAGTAGTGATGGTAGAGGGTGGTGGTGATGGTGGTAAAGGGTGGTAGTGATGGTGGTAAAGGGTGGTAGTGATGGTGGTAAAGGGTGGTAGTGATGGTGGTAGAGGGTGGTAGTGAGGGTGGTAGTGATGGTGGTAGAGGGTGGTAGTGATGGTGGTAGTGATGATAGTAGAGGGTGGTAGTCATGATGGTAGAAGGTGGTAGTGATGGAATAGTGATGGTGGTAGAGGTTGGTAGTGATGGTGGTAGATGGTGGTAGTGATGGTGGTAGAGTGTGGTAGTGATGGTGGTAGAGGGTGGTAGTGATGATGGTAGAGGGTGGAAGTGATGGTGGTAGTGATGGTGGTAGTGATGGTGGTAGAGGTTGGAAGTGATGGTGGTAGAGGGTGGTAGTGATGATGGTAGAGGGTGGTAGTGATGGGGTAGTGATGGTGGTAGTGATGGTGGTAGAGGGTGGTAGTGATTGTGGTAGAGGGTGGTAGCAATGGTGGTAGAGGGTGGTAGTGATTGTGGTAGAGGGTGGTAGCAATGGTGGTAGTGATGGTGGTAGTGATTGTGGTAGAGGGTGGTAGCAATGGTGGTAGTGATGGTGGTAGTGATTGTGGTAGAGGGTGGTAGCAATGGTGGAAGAGGGTGGTAGTGATGATGGTAGAGATAACTTCTCTTCCCTCTCCCTTCCTCACCATCTTCCATACACCAACAAGAGTCTTCAAAAAAGGTAAAAATGAGTTAAATGTACATTTATCCATTTCATTGATGCTTTATATATATTTCTCATTGTTTTCTTTACATAAAACTATAGTTATTCTTTATAAAATGTATTTTTTGTTAATATTTTTGGGTGTCTGGAATGGATTAATTGAATTTACATTATTTCTTAAGGGAAATATTACTTCAGTTTCGTACAAATCGGTTTTCGGCCAACCTTCTGGAATGGATTAAAGACAAAAATTGGGGTTCCACTGTATACATCATTTTTACCTTGCAAAGACATAAGAGCATGCCTTGTGTGTGTTCAATACTGACATTCACAGCAGCATTTGTCATTTAAGTGTAAATAACATCCGTGTTGAATTTAATAATTCATTTTGGCATCACAGAGCAATGCAAATTGGCAACAGAAATTGCAGAAAGCACCGGTGGGCTTCTCGTGATGTGCTGGAGGTGAAAATTACCAGAATGGCTTCATGGAGAAGAAGAGGTTACTCAGTCTATGCTGTCTATATGTTACATGATGTTTTGCTAAAGACTAGAGATTACGATATGTAAAGCAGTAAAAAATTATTACTAGGTCTAATTAATATTACTGCACACAGTAAACTGGAGAATTTCAAATTCAAACTAAATATTAATTATATGCAGAGTGTCCCACTTGATCTCCACAAAGAACAGCCTTAAAAAAGAAAGAAATAATTGGAACTAAATGCCTACTTTTTGTTTTAATAGTAACCTTAAGTGATCATTATCATTAGGCTACATATCTACATTATACTTTTCTCCTCATATTAATGAGCAAATGTGATATACTCCTCTTACATGTATAGCTTAAGTCACATAACACTTGATGACTGATGTATTGACATACCACTTTCTGCAACAGTTCAATGAAAGCAAATAAAATTTACATTTCCTATTAAAATATCTAATGTCAGACTATATTTTCTGTTAGCATGTCAGCCATCTCCTATCAAGGTAGTATGAACAAAAAAAAGTAAACATTCCTCATCATTCATACAATAGCTGTTTTGCCAGAAACAAATTCTAATGACCCTCCAAATTGTGACATCCCTACCCTTTCTTCACAGTGCAAGCACTGAACTTTCTGCCATAAGGACTCAAGTCTGGCTAACCAGTTACTCTGAATTCCTTCAGAAATGTTACACTACTTACACTCCAACATTCTTCAAAATACTCGTCTCTACTCACCTTGATCTAACATGCTCACACATGAGTTGTCTAGAAACAATATTTGGAAGTAAGAACAATTTAATTTCATAAATGTTTTAAGGTTTTCTGAGTATAATCAATAAGGTTGAGATTTGTATCCAGTGGGAAAATTATACAGGTGAATCTTAATTCTAATGAAAGTTAAATTTAAGATTCTGCCATAAGTTCTGAAACACATACTGGATACATTGTAACAAGATTTATTATTAATTCACTGTAGTATTGAAATCTTTGTCACATACAGCTTACCATAACTGAACAGGTAAGTTATATTATTTATCTTAAAATAATGATAACAAGTGAATGCCTGCCCTCAGTCCCGACTTACAAGTTCTCAGAATCACAACCATTTTGATAAATATCTCTTCAAGTATTCTGTAACTAGCAAAAATATTCTTCATAGTTGAAATGAACTTGCTATCTTTAGCATTTTGATCTTAAAGTTATATGAATATAGTTACACTGATTGAAAAACAGATACAGTGGAACCTCAAAAATCGAACTGCTCCCAACTCAAGCAGTTATGTAAGTATATTTTTGTAAGTGCTTTTATAAGTGTATTTTTGAGGGTCTGAAATGGACTAATCTAATTTACATTATTCCTGATGGGAATAAATTCGTTCAGTAGCAGCACACAAACAGCCTTCTGGACCGAAGAAAGTTCGATTTTTAAGGTTCCACTGTAATTGTTACTGGCATTTAAAAATAAAACAAGCACAATATATATTTGATTTGAACAGTTAAAAAACATGACTGCCTGTATACCTTTACTTTTGTGTAAAAAATGTCCCCTCAAGGAAGGTTCCTTGATGTTGGTGAGGGGCTCTTGATTTAGGGAATTGGATCTGTGCTCCAGTTCCCCGAATTAAGCCTGAATGCCTTCCACATCCCCCCCAGGCGCTGTATAATCCTCCGGGTTTAACGCTTCCCCCTTGATTATAATAATAATAATAATGTGTAAAAATGTAGGAGACACAAATATCTATAGTAATAAGTTATACAGTGGACCCCCGCATAACGATCACCTCCGAATGCGACCAATTATGTAAGTGTATTTATGTAAGTGTGTTTGTACGTGTATGTTTGGGGGTCTGAAATGGACTAATCTACTTCACAATATTCCTTATGGGAACAAATTCGGTCAGTACTGGCACCTGAACATACTTCTGGAGTGAAAAAATATCGTTAACCGGGGGTCCACTGTACTCACACTTTTGGGGTATCTAGTAACATACAAGATAATTTTAAGTGTTGTTCTTTCAATTGCGTAAAAGTAGTGCATTTGTTAGCCAATCTTTTTATCAACCACAGCAATCATTAATAAGCACAAACATATGTATGCATTCAGTAAACATTAAACACATACTTCAAGGTGATAATAGTACACTCCAGTGCTTTACTTGACACAATTGCACATGACACTCATTGACTGCTTGTCAGGTGTTTTGCCAAACATACAGTCACTTAATTATGCACCTTCCTAGTGATCTTCATTGAGGAATATTCTCATTTTTACCATGAGAGAATATTTTACTGTTGTTCCATATATGAGAAGGATAATATTAAATATCATACAATTAACAAGTTTAACACTGCCTTTAATATAAAGTTTATGAAGTGTGAGTTTACCAGGACACTACATGAAAATCAATTATTTCGTCTTCATCTTCAGTTCCTCATGCTAGGAACATCATGTGAAGTATATCCTTGAGTTATCAAATCGATAAAATAAAGGTAGAAATACAGTTTTGATCAGACTACAGGACTTTTTAGTCTTTTAGTCTTCCTTAACATTTTTCAACGTCATAATAGCAAAAATACAAAAATAAAAATAAAAGCCACTGCAAAATGCTAAAAAGTTTTCTTGTCTAACAGACATTGTGTTATCATTTCTTAAAATTTTTAGCCAAAGCACAGTTGCATATATAAGACAGTTGCCATTTAAATTGAGAAATAATTGAGTGAAATTTTTTTTTACCAAGCATTATAGCTTATACCGAAAGAAAAAGTACTTTATAGAAAGCAATAGACAGAAGAAACAAATCGACACCTTGGGCATATCATATGTACAGGAGGGCCCCACTTTACAGCACTTTGCTAATATGGACATTTCAAATTTTAACCCCCTCAAGGGCGGTTCCTTGACACTGGTGAGGGGCTCTTGATCTAAGGAATTGGATCTGTACTCTGGTTCCCTGAATTGTGCCTGAATACCTTCCATCCCCCCACATGCATTGTATAATCCTACGGGTTTAGCGCTTCCCACATAATTTTAATAAACTTTAACCAAATATTTTTTTATATGGCTCCTGATTCACTATTACATCGTCCATGTGCCACTCTATTTGTTTACATTCTCCGTGAGCTCTGTGTCTTATCCAGCCATCTCCTCCTGACTTACAATAAATGCTTCTCACCTCTCACCGTACATTAAGGCCAAAAATATTTTATGGTAATAAGTGTACCGTATATGCATTTTTACTTTTTTATATTTTTAGGTCTAATTATATGGATAGCTTAAAATGTGATAGTGTAAACATGTTATCAGGCATTTATATGCATTAAAAAATGAAAAAAAAAAGAGTCAGTCACTTTACAGCAATTTTTGCTTTACAGCAGTAGGCTGCAACCTAACCTGCCATACAGGGCCCTCCTCTATCTATATTAGTTTTGTTTCAAGGGGAGAAGGGATGTCTGGTCATTGGTTGAAGAGTGTTTCAGGGAATTTTTATCTATTCTCCACTTTCTTAAATCTGACCTGATTATCTGCTGATATGTTGTGCATCATTTGGAATTTAAGATTTTTTTTTTTTTTCATCAATCCGGCCATATCCCACCAAGGCAGGGTGACCTAAAAAGTAAAAGAAAAGTACTTAAAAAGAAAAACAAAAGTTACATTTTTGTATGCTTTTACAAACAAAGTTTTATTATTAATATTCCCTAAATGCTGCATGGCTTTTGTGGATTTACCATTTCCCCATTAGGTAATAATTATATTATAGAATGCTGTGTCAGCAGATGAGAGGTGTTGTCCAGACTTTAAGTGTGTCTGCCATCATAAAATAACTCCTTCTCTTCTCAGTCAAAAACAATGAGTTATGACCAGTCTCAGTCGTGATCAATGAGTTAAGACCAGCCTCAGTCATGATCAATGAGTTAAGACCAGCCTCAGTCATGATCAATGAGTTAAGACCAGCCTCAGTCATGATCAATGAGGTAAGACCAGCTTCAGTTATGATCAATGAGTTAAGACCAGCTTCAGTCATGATCAATGAGTTAAGACCAGCTTCAGTCATGATCAATGAGTTAAGACCAGCTTCAGTCATGATCAATGAGTTAAGACCAGCTTCAGTCATGATCAATGAGTTAAGACCAGCTTCAGTCATGATCAATGAGTTAAGACCAGCTTCAGTCATGATCAATGAGTTAAGACCAGCTTCAGTCATGATCAATGAGTTAAGACCAGCTTCAATCATGATCAATGAGTTAAGACCAGCTTCAGTCATGATCAATTAGTTAAGACCAGCTTCAGTCATGATCAATTAGTTAAGACCAGCTTCAATCATGATCAATGAGTTAAGACCAGCTTCAGTCATGATCAATGAGTTAAGACCAGCTTCAATCATGATCAATGAGTTAAGACCAGCTTCAGTCATGATCAATGAGTTAAGACCAGCTTCAATCATGATCAATGAGTTAAGACCAGCTTCAGTCATGATCAATGAGGTAAGACCAGCTTCAGTCATGATCAATTAGTTAAGACCAGCTTCAGTCATGATCAATGAGTTAAGACCAGCTTCAGTCATGATCAATTAGTTAAGACCAGCTTCAGTCATGATCAATTAGTTAAGACCAGCTTCAGTCATGATCAATTAGTTAAGACCAGCTTCAGTCATGATCAATGAATTAAGACCAGTTTCAGTCATGATCAATGAGTTAAGACCAGCTTCAGTCATGATCAATGAGTTAAGACCAGCTTCAGTCATGATCAATGAGTTAAGACCAGCTTCAGTCATGATCAATTAGTTAAGACCAGCTTCAATCATGATCAATGAGTTAAGACCAGCTTCAGTCATGATCAATTAGTTAAGACCAGCTTCAGTCATGATCAATGAGTTAAGACCAGCTTCAGTCATGATCAATGAGTTAAGACCAGCTTCAGTCATAATCAATGAGTTAAGATGAGCCTCAGTCATGATCAATGAGTTATGATTAGACAATAGAGAAACAAAGATAAAGATTGAAAAGCTACAGCAAAAATTATCTAGTGAATTACAAAACTGACTTTTCTGTATGTAATGAGATTCTTGATAAAATCAGTATCTTTAAGTGCTCTTGGAAAGCAAGAAAGATACAAACAAAAAAGGGTAGTTTTTACCCCAAAAAAATTCCTATTTGTCCATTCTATGTAAAACCTTGTATATTTTAATGTAATTTTTTTAAGTAGAAGAAAATAATTTGAGCCACAGTATAATTATTTAATTAAATATTTATATGAAAACCATATGCAATACTAGATCTGATAAATTATAATGTAACTGAATAACTGTAATTGTGCTTTATAGAATGGGGATTCTGTCCTGGTAGAAAAAAAGATAAAAAAGTCAAGTATGATTAGTTATGGCACACTCCACTGTGCTGTACTGCCAAATGGAAAAAAAAAAATGCAAAAGAAAGAAAAGTGAATGTCAATGAAGGAAACATCTCTTTTCATAATATTCCTACCGTGAGAGAAACAGGTCAAGCTTTATAAACACAGAACTCTTAGTGGAGTAATAAATGCTTCATTTCTGCAAGCATAACTTAGAAAAACAAGCTCTTTCTATCACTGATGAGTACACTAAGGCTATATCAGCAGCATATCATCCTGCTCTGAATCCACAAGACAGAAGAGAAGAATAACTAAGAAAAGTTATTTAGCACTTTGCAATGATCCCCAACTTTCCTTTCAGATCATATTAAGATTCCTTTTCCAAATATTTAAAAAAATATTTTTGAAAAATGTACAATGCAAAATAAATAGTAACATCCTTGGGGACTATCATCACATGTTCTGTAGTGCAATATCTTTGGATCAGCATTTTATGAATCATTTCAAGTCATTGCAAATAAATTTCTTGTTTCTACCACAATTCATCACAAACATTTACATCCTGGGATATGCAACTTACACAATAAGTTCTTGTTACTGTCACTGCATGAAATGTAGAGACTAGACATCAATGAAAATGTCACTTGATTTCCATTACACTTAGGGAAACGGAGAATCACAGACTTCCAAAGAGTCATATTTTGAGCACATTTTGTCTATCACATGGTAAGCTTATACTTACCAACATTATATTCGCCTTCTTGAAAAGGAGAGCTATTTTTAGTTCAGCTATCCAGTTTTACATTTAGCTTTCCCATCTAATGTCCTCTTGTATATATCAAACTGTTCTTCATATTTAACCATATGAATTGATATTGTTTTCAGGAGGCCACATGTATCAGTTAATTTAATTTTCTCATTTCTAAATCGTGAGTCACCTATTCTTCTGATTCTTAAACTTTCACCAACAATACCAGTAAGCAGCACATCCTCAAGCACAAAGAATGTGGTGTCAAGTGCCTTCTGATATATATCATCCACTACATCACTTGTGAAGAGATATGCTGGCCCAGTGAGGAAGTCTGGGTACTTGGATTTGCTGTATGTTTTAGTATCTATGAAATACTTGCTCTTCTTATTTCTGACAGGCTTCCAACCTTTGGCCATTCGCCCATACATTACATGGTCTTCATTTGCCTTAGACTCTATAAAACTAAGAAGTAGGGGCATATTGATAAACATATCATCATCGGTCTTGAGAACGAAGTGTGACTCAGAACAATATGTTTTAATCCACTCAAACATGGATACAGTCTTCAGTGTGAGATTGCTATAGTGATCAATAAAATTTGCTTGGATAATGTCCCCAAACAATTCATTTTCTTTATCAATGTTGCTTTGAACATTGAAATTAGTGGTTCTCCCAATTACAAAGGCCATAACCACATCCTTCCTCAATGAGAAGTGTCCCCAGGTTTGTCTGACAGCTGTGCGATGTTTCTCATGGTCTGGGGCAGTTGTAATCAACACAAGAACTTTCAGCTCCCGTCCATTGTTCTCACAAAGTTCTTCATGAGGCACACTGAAGCCTGATTCATATTTTTCGCCAACCTGTAAATAATAAACAGTTATAATCTGATTTTTTAAACAGTATAAATAATCATTATATTTCTGGTATACAATACCAACATGCAGAGGAATATGGCACATGGACAACACTTTGGTATCTTTATTTATGAAACATTCCACTTGTGCAGTCAAACACAGAGGTAATTAATATACCAGAGATAATTGAGAAAGGATTAAGGTGTTCAGTCCTTTATACTTGACAAATGCAGAGGTAATCTGAGGAAGACTAATGCAACTATGTATGCTTGACCAGAAACGAGGTGTATCAGTTGGAGATGGCATCACAGAAGGCAGGGCCTTCTGTGATGCCAAATGGCCCATTCAAGGAAGAACATGCCAGTAAGTTGTGGACAACAATGCTGGGAAAAATATCCTCTGTACCAAGATACTGTGGTGTGCTGTTTCAGATGAGTGTCATTATATTAATGGTATATAATGCCAACGAGAATGAGACACCTGTGCAACACTTTCATATCTTTATTTCTGAAAATTTCATCAGCATAGAAGGCTTCTTTAGTCGAATACAGAGGTGAATAATGTACTAGAGATAGTTGAAGAAGAAACTGAGGGTTTTAGTCCCTAGCCTTGATTAAGTGGAGAGGCAAATTTGGCATGTTCAGTTCCTCAGCTTTGATAAAAACTGTCCAGTCCATGGTACTGATCACACTGAAGTAGAGACATATTGATGGAGTTATATTTACTGGACCAGAAGTGAGGTGTGTGGGCTGGAGATTGCATTATAGGAAGCGGGGCCCACAAATATGCCATCTGACCCAAGCTAGACACAGCTCTTTCAGATTCAACCTTTAAGAACAGGTCAACAAACTGGAGCAATGTGGCTGCAAATGTTCGCTCTACCAAGACAGATGATATCTGCAACTTTATTGCTTCACAGCATATTGGAAATTTCTTGAGGGTTGAAGTTGAGAGGGACCTGCCTAGTATGGGTCATTTAGCGAGTTAGTGTGCCCTGCCTCCTGTGACATCATCTCCAGTCAACACACCTCACTTTTGATCCAGTGTACATAGCTCCATCAATGTGCTCATTACGATAAACTATAAACCATAGGCGTTGTTAGTCTAGGGGAGCTTTTATGGAGAATTATTCTCGTTATATCGTAATAAGGTTATAAGGAGATCGAAAATTTTTGTAAAATGTATCTTTAATATAAAGTAGATATCGTTATAAACTTAAGGTATTTTGTTGTACCTTTTTCTTAATTATATATAAACAAACTTTATATACCACTTATAAATTAAGAAGACCTTCATTCTTAGCTGAATGAACCTTTAATATTCAGCTGAACAAAAAGTTACATCATCCTCTATTTTCTAAGGAGATTAGGCTGTTGACTTAGAAAACTTGAAGTCTCTACACACGAGAATTTCTGTATAATGAAAATTCCACAATTTCTGGTAACTTAAGCAAGTAAAGCTCTAGACCAAATGCTTCACCATTAAGGTTAAAAGGAGTAGGCTGTGGAGACCTTCTCTATACTGAGAGAGGTGCTGTACTGCCTGCTCTACTCCACTCACCTCTGACATAAGCTCGTATCAGGCGAGTAGTAACCAGAGGTGAGGTCATAAATGGTTGTTATAATTGGTAAATGATGCATCAGCGAAAAAATACATACATATACGTAAAATGAAAAATGAGAAAGATGAAAATGAATATTTAATATTATAAAGCTGATTTGCGTCGATTTAGCTAATAACGACAATAATCGCAATGTAATATTAGAAGGATGAACAAAATTGTAAGACATATTTAGAGAAATCGCATGTCAGCATAACAGTGCTTCTACTTCAAATTGATTAATGTTATACGGCCTGAATAACTTTTACCAAGTCTGAGGGACTGAACACCCCAAAATTACATCTCCACATCTATCAAGGTTGAGGGACTAAACACCTCAGTCTCTTTTTGAACTGTTTCCAGTACAGCCTTTCCTCACTTAACAACGGAGTTCCATTCCTAAGACCACATCGGTAAACAAATTCGTCGCTAAATGAAAAGCATACCATAATGGTAGTGGGTTTGTGTCAACTATCTTTGATATTGTTTTAATGTTACTGTTGCACCATTTGTAACATTTCTGGTATACATGTATTTTTAAATGTTTATACAGTAATAAAGAGAATAGAGTAAATCAGCTCTAATACACATTATTTAGGCATGCATACTGGTCAGAGAGCCTGTCGTAAGTCCGAGGCATCGGTAAAAGAGTACATCGTTAAGTGAGGAGAGGCTGTATATTAGTCAACTCTGCATTTGATTGAAAAAATGCTATTCAAGCAAAATATTTCGGATATAAAGATATCAAAGTGTTGCACACGTGTTTTGTTCATCTATTTATCAGTAATGTATGTATATCATTTATATAATATCTGTGTGATACAGTAACACCATGGTATCCTGATACTGAGAACATCTGGTGAAAAGACATAAATGCATGAACTTTATTGAGAAGTTTATCCTGTGGACAGGCTTATTCAGACCATTAAAGGATGATAAATTAGACACATGTTCAACACTTGGGTATCTTTATTGAGGGTATCTTTATCCTCAATAAAGATACCCAAGTGTTGCACATGTGTCTAATTTATCGACTTGTTGGTTCTCTGAACCATTCATCTACATTAAAGGATGACATAGTTGATCCCATGTATCAGAAATCTTTCCTATGAGGACAGACTGAGGGCGCTGAATCTGCTCTCTCCAGAAAGGCATAGAATTAAGGGGGATATGATTGAGGTGTATAAATGTAAAACAGGAATTAATAAAGGGGATGTAAATAGCATGCTAAAAATATCTAGCCTAGACAAGACTCACAGCAATGGCTTTAAGCTGGAAAAAAATTAGATTTAGGAAGGATATAGAAAAGTAGTTGTTTGGTAATAGAGTTGTGGATGAGTGGAACAAACTTCTGAGTACCTTCATAGAAGATAAGACGTGTAGTTTTAAAAATAGGTTAGATGAATACATGAGTGGGTGTGGGTGGGTGTGAGTTGGACCTGACTAGCTTGTGCTACTAGATCAGATGCTGTGCTCCTTCCTTAAGTGAATGTGACCTGATCTGACTAGGTTAAGGCATTGGCTTAAGCTGGTGGGAGAAGTGGACCTGCCTCACATGGGCCAGAAGGCCTGCTGTAGTGTTCCTTCTTTCTTATGTTCTTATGTTAATGAAGAAGTATCTTAACCCTTAAACTGTCCAAACAAATTTACGTTCACATGTGCAGTGCTCCAAAAGTAGATCTACATTTTTTTACATATTTTTGAATATAACAAAAGAAAAACATAGATCAAAGTTTTGTTTACACGCTTTCAAATGTAAAAAAAAAAAAAAAAAATCTACGTTTTTTTACATACAGTGGTCCCTCGACCAACGATGGCATCATATAACGTTAAATCCGACTAGCAATACATTTTAAAGCAAAAATTTTGCCTCAACTAGCGCTAAAAAACTCGACCAACGCGATTCGTTCCGTTCGAGACGTGTCCACATGTGGCCTGAGCGCGCCTCACTTGTCCTGTGGGTGCCAGTGTTTACAAGCCAGCCACCGCGGTCGCATCCAAACATACAATCGGAACATTTCATATTATCACAGCGTTTTCAGTGATTGCACCTGCAAAATAAGTCACCATGGGCCCCAAGAAAGCTTCTAGTGCCAACCCTACAGCAAAAAGGGTGAGAATCACTATGGATATGAAGAAAGAGATCATTCCTAAGTATGAAAGTGGAGTGTGTGTCTCTGAGCTGGCCAGGTTGTACACAAAACCCCAATCAACCATCGCTACTATTGTGGCCAAGAAAACGGCAATTAAGGAAGCTGTTCTTGCCAAAGGTGCAACTATGTTTTCGAAACTGAGATCGCAAGTGATAGAAGATGTTGAGAGACTGTTATTAGTGTGGATAAACGAAAAACAGATAGCAGGAGATAGCATCTCTCAAGCGATCATATGTGAAAAGGCTAGGAAGTTGCATGACGATTTAATTAAAAAAATGCCTGCAACTAGTGGTGATGTGAGTGAATTTAAGGCCAGCAAAGGTTGGTTTGAGAGATTTTAGAACCGTAGTGGCATACATAGTGTGATAAGGCATGGTGAGGCTGCCAGTTCGGACCACAAAGCGGCTGAAAAATATGTGCAGGAATTCAAGGAGTACATAGACAGTGAAGGACTGAAACCTGAACAAGTGTTTAATTGTGACAAAACAGGCCTGTTTTGGAAGAAAATGCCAAGCAGGACCTACATTACTCAGGAGGAAAAGGCATTCCCAGGACATAAGCCTATGAAAGACAGGCTTACTCTGTTGATGTGTGTTAATGCTAGTGGTGATTGCAAAGTGAAGCCTTTATTGGTGTATCACTCTGAAACTCCCAGAGTGTTCAGGAAAAACAATGTCCTCAAGGCTAATTTGTGTGTGCTGTGGAGGGCAAACAGTAAGGCATGGGTCACTAGGGACTTTTTCTATGACTGGTTACACCATGCATTTGCCCCCACTGTAAAAAATTACCTCCTGGAAAATAAATTGGGCCTTAAGTGCCTCCTGGTATTAGACAATGCTCCTGGTCATCCTTCAGACTTGGCAGAGCAACTTTCTGGGGACATGAGCTTCATCAAGGTCAAGTTTTTGCCTCCTAATACCACTCCTCTCCTGCAGCCCATGGATCAGCAGGTCATTGCAAACTTCAAAAAACTCTACACAAAAGCTATGTTTGAAAGGTGCTTTGTAGTGACCTCAGAAACTCAATTGACTCTAAGAGAGTTTTGGAGAGATCACTTTAGCATCCTCAATTGTGTAAACATTATAGGTAAGGCTTGGGAGGAAGTGACTAAGAGGACCTTGAAATCTGCTTGGAAGAAACTGTGGCCAGAATGTGTAGACAAAAGGGATTTTGAAGGATTTGAGGCTAACCCTGAAAAGCCTATGCCAGTTGTGGAATCAATTGTGGCATTGGGGAAGTCCTTGGGGCTGGAG